GAAAAATATTAAATAGGTTGTCAGATTCATCATGAATCTGAGAATGGTGTTAGAGCACAATGGAGGATGGTATTGAACTTCCCATTATATGGGCTGCTCCCTTCCATAACTCTTTTGTTAGTAGGGAAATGAGAGTCTTTGCAGTACCCTGACAGCAGAGAAGATGTCGATTACTGCTGGGGAACATCTGATGGGGACCTGGAGACTGTTTTCTCCTGCAGCTGTACAGCAGTCAAGCCTGCAGAATTTAACTGCAGTGTGGGGTTGGTGGCCTCAACCTTCTGGTCTCTGGCCTTTTACTGAGAATTMTTGCAGGGCTGTGGAGTTCATGATTGAAAACAAATCACATGGACTGAATGTGTGRTCATCTGTTGGGAATAACTTTGTGTAATTATTTGGATGTCCCAGGGTTGCAGGTGGGTGATCGAGCAGCTTGGACAGTGCCCARCTCCCAAGAGTGGGGCAGAGCCAGTGGAGGTTCTCATTGTGGATATGGGCAAGCACTGTCATCCAGTGTCCAGATTGGGATTAGCAGTGACAAATGCTGCTTTGAGCTCCTATGACATCACAAGCCATCAGGATCTGAAACCCTCAGTGTGTTATTAACAGGGGTTTATAGTGTCTGGTCAGCTGCTGACCCTGGGACAGGGGTGTCTCACTTTGCCTCTGCACCTTGCAGGTAGGGAGGGGTTTGCAGACTGAGAGTGAGATGCTGTGGTGCTGTGAGGTATACAGGCATGTGAACTGCTTACATGAAGGAACCTGCCACCTGGAAGGATACAGGATACAGCTGCTTTTAGTCAGAGTATCAGGTTTTTTTTTTCTGGGTGCAGTGCCATGTAACTCTGTCAGATCTCTAGCCCTCTGTTGTGAAACCCTGCCAACTTGGCTATTTCTGGAAGATGTTCCCCTTCAAGTACCAGCAAATCACAAGTATCACAACACTTGCTAGAGACGGAAGGTTATGATCATCTCTCCTGCTTAGATATCTTTCAGCAGTGCCCCATCAGCACCGATAAACCTCCCCYCAGAATAGTTTGGCTGCCAGGAATGAACATCACCAGGTTCATGGTGCACTGACTAAGATGCAGGCCAGGAACTGAGGGTACCTAAAACAAAACAAAACAACAACAAAAAGTTGCTATAAACCATAATTTGACTCCGTTGGTTTTGTTTTTTAACTTCGGTTTTCTCTCTGGTTAAGTGGAAAATAATTATCATGAAAGTTCAGCTGAAATTCTCAGTAATTTATCAGCTACATACGCAACCCAAATATTGCAACAGCAGGAACCTGAGAAYGCAACTGATTTGTCATAACAAGAGTTGAGAGAAACAGAAGCAGCAAATAGTACAACAAAAATGATAAGCAAAAATAGGATTATTATTCTTTCAGCATYAGTAATGTAAAGTGCAAGCAGAACCATAGGTAAGGCAGTTTCTCTTAGATGTGACACATTGATGGGACTCTCTCATGAAATGTCTCTCATTTCATCTTTTATCACTTCTTTCTAACAAGACATGGTCACTGGTGTTATCTGTTACAGCCYTGTGTCCTGTTAGCTTCAGCCCAGTATTTCACATGGTGCCACTGGGGACAGTTTWATTTCAAATGAGCAAATAAATTCAGCTCCGTTCTGGTCTGCGATAGCTCTAATGTGCAAAGTCTACTCCATTCACAGCCTCAAACAAAATTACTGCTAAGGAAGCCTGCAGGTAAAGAGCTGGACTAACTTCAGTTAGGAAATAAATGAATTGGAATGGAAGTCCTCAATGCCATCACAGTGCTGCTGGGCTCTCAGAGAGATATCTGAACACTCTGCTGGGAACCTGTTCCCCGCAGACACCCACATCTGCAATTARAAAGGGTTAATGCTCATTCTGTGAACCTTCCTCAGCACTCACTGCTTCAGCATGACTTTATTTTTCACTTTTCTTTCTGGAAGCCAAAGGGATTTTTTTTTCTTTAGTATCATCAAGAACAGGAATAGAAACTTTGCAATAAGCTCAGAATGTTCTTTGGCTCAGCACATGGGAAAGAGATTTAGGGTTGGATTTCCTATTGCTTCACACTCACTCCTGCCTGCTAGCAGGGTAATGATTTTGTGGGCAGGCATTTTTCTTAATGAGCCATTGGCAAAACTGCCTGTTTCTCCCTAATTTACTGTTATATCTCTTCACTTGAGTTCTGGAGATAAACACTTCACCTTCCCACACTGCCAGCAGTCAGGGAGACTCTGAACTCAAGTTCATCTTCTGAAAGACCCACTTTGCATTGTGAACGGAGAGAGCAGGGGTGAAGATGTTTATCACTTTCTGAGGGGTTTTATGAGTGTTTGGGATGGATGATCTGGTTTCATGATTTTCTTGGCAACTGCTCATAATCCTCTAACCTTCGTAGTGATTAAATGATGAATATCCAGAAACAGAGCAAAGCAAGGAAGCATGTTGCCCTTCAGAGAGGGAAAACAAGGCAGCATGGGGCTGCCAAGGGACCAGAGCCCGTGTTGGAGCCAGGACTTGCACAAGAGCTCTTGTCAGAGGTCCTTGAGCACTGTGCCTCCCACTCGTGCCGCTGCTGGAGCACTCTGTTCCCAGCAGCTGGTCTTGCAGCATTTTGTGATTGACTTTACAACTGTGCTAACYCCAGATATTAATAGCAGAAAGATGTCCCCTGCTTTCAGCTGCTCAGTTGTGTCCCTGGTTGTCTGGGATTCGTGCATGCAGCTGGGGAATTGTCCTTGCTCAGGTGCTTCAGTCCATGGGTTTCATGCTGCAGGCTGACAGGGAAGGAGCAGCATGTTGACCTGGTCTGGAATGACAGCAATGTCAGCCGAGAGGGAGATCTGGGTGTTGTGGTGACTGAGAACATCATGGCAAACACACATTTGGGTGCAGAATTCATCCAGTGCTGGCAGGTTCCCTGCTCAGTTCTGAAGCTGTCAGCACGTCTGCAGGAGGCAAACGCACATCTTCACTGGAGAACAAGAACGGGTGTGTGAGCAATTAGGGGATTAGGAGACCCAAAGGACCAGATGTTCTAAAAAAAAAAAACTCCTTGCAGTTGCTGTGGTGACTGTTTATTGGGCACTTTCCTGATGCTAGTTTGTATTTTACTGATGGGAAGCAGTACTTGGATTCTCCGTACTTGGGGACGCTGACACACATTGTATTTTTTGCCACATGCACTTCAGTGTGTCTACAATCATCTCTGACTGTGGATTCTAACTAACAACACGTGAGTACAGCATCACCTGAAAGTGAAACATTGCTTGCCTCTACAGGCAGGGAGAGGAAGGTGATGTGTAACTCRCCTGTTAAAAGTTTTCATTGTGGCTGCTGTGATCCCAGGAAGAAACAACTGAAGCAGCTTTTCAGGAATGTCACTGCACAACAGAAAGTGTGGTACTGATCCCAAACTTGGGGTGGGAGAGACCCTCATGGATGAAGTTCACTCTCCCTTCATGTCAGGCAGCAGCAGCTCCCACWTCTCTCTGAAAACTGCCTCAGAACAAGGCACTGGCTTCTTTGCTTCTGAGAATTTCCATTTTGGAAGCTGCAGTGGGCTGGAATGAGGTATTTTAGCTGACACAGGGATGCRTGGCTGCTCAGCTGGTCCTCTGCACTGCAGAGTTTAATTCTGTTCCGTGTAAGAAAACAAAGGGGCTAAACACATTCTGCACAGCAAAACAAAGCTTTTAGGGCAGGCAGGCACCTGATCCTCCTCCTGCTACTACTATGGAAACATGTCARAGCAGAAAACCTGTTGCCATGAGACTGTAAAAATAACCTCGCCATCACGTTATGGAGACACGGACTGGCTGCACCACACGGGTTATGTAAGAGCAGCTCCAACACTGGGATGTAGCACTGTGAGCTGCCTCTTGCTCCCTGGAGACACGCAAGCTTCTGAAAAAGCTACAGGCAAGACAGTTGAGGTAGTAAGTCTGTTATTTTTAGTCTCTGTATCTGAAATGCAAGCCTGAAATGGACACAGACACACTYAGGGTACGGTAGTGTCAGCAGCAGATTTTTAAAAGTTAGACCAAGCAATGGTAGCTGGATTTTTAGGTTTAAAGAAATCACCRCTTGGTTTTAAGGGGTCTGAAATGGTGTTTTTTGCAACTCTGCATGATTTGAATTCTGTGTGGAACTGACCAGGGCAGAAGGCCTTGCCAAGTAGGAAGGTGGTCAGGGAGCCAGGGAAATGGTGGTGCTGTGTTTGAAGTTGTCATGGCTGGGAAAAAGGAAAGAAAGCAATGGACCAGGCCCAGCTCTGTTACTGAGAAAAATGTCAGAACAGGTGAGCAAACCTCAGAGCTGGAGAAAGGACAACAGCCACGTTTACAGTTCTTAAACTCTATCCAGAAATATAGTTACAGAAGTTCAAAAAAATAAAGGGCTTGACTGGACACAGACACTTCCTATATGCAGAAAAAATCAAGCTCAGTGTAGTCCTGTACTAATTATCACTATTTTTTAAAAATCTTATGCTCTTGACCAAGGTAAGTACTTGGAGGARCACATTCAGACTGGAGGGGGGAGTACAAAAACCAGCAAATTTAAAAACCTTTGCAGAAACTACTACTGATTACATCAATTGTCCTACAAGACAAACTCACTGACTTCCAGCTCAGCTCTCCTCAGGCTTCTTTTTCAAATRTACCCAAGTTTTATCCCTTCATCTAGTCCTGAAAGCCTCATTTCTGTCGTCTCTTGCCTTCCAACAGTGGAACATGATTTCCCAGCGAGACTACAAGGATGCTGCCTCCTCCCGCTCCTCCCTACACATCTTGAGAGATTCCTGACGTGCCTCAGATGTAGAGCTTTGCTTTGTTTGAATGCCACGGGCGTGCACAACTCCTCTTCTGTGCTTCAGGCATGTGGAGGATTCCCAATCCCTCCTACTCCTATTCCCAGCATGACAAAGGACCAGCTCTGAAGCCAAACCCAGAAGCGTTCATGTAAACCCCTAACAAGGAACATACACATGGAGTCAGGAATGTCCCACTGCTCTGATTTTAATGATCCCACTTCTACCCTAGCCATGGGTATTTGCCCAGCGCTGTTTCCAGCACAGCTCTGCCACCCAAGTCCCAGCACAGAGCAGGAAAGGGTTTCTGATCCAAGGAAACCAAGTGTTATAGCTCAGGAGCCAAATGCTTCCCAGGGCCCACATTCAAGTGGGCTCTGGACACACYAATGTCCTGCAAATCCCAAGAGCTRTAGCTGYTGCAGCATGAGCTCCATAATGACAGCCAAACATGCTGTGACAATGGCACGGCCACCTCAGCCCTCCAGGATGCGGTTGATGAGCTTCATTTCCTCAGCAGACATGGGATTCAGGTTAAACCCCTTCAGCTCAGGTTTACCTGGGAGAACATATGGAGAAAATCAGGACTTTGACACAAAAGAAGWGAAGCAGCTCGTGCTAAACTCGAGAGGGGCTGCAGGGAGAGCAGGGACAGCCCTGGAAGCTGAAGTGGGGTCAGCCCAGTGTGGTGTCAGAGAGGGTTTAGGGGGTTGGTGTGTGATAGCTCCACACAGAGACAGCCAAAGCTGCTGTGACAGGGAGGGAACTGCAAAACCAGTGGGGAAGCAGCTGCAGGAACACACGGAGCTCAGGAATTTCTGGACCCTTCCTGATGCATGAGTCTGCCCCCAACAACTGAGCAGGTTCCAGAGCAGGAGTTTTTACCTTGAGCCTCGTAGAGCCTGTTGACCTTTACACGCAGCTCTTTGCGGAGATTGTTTATTTCTTCATCCAGCTCTTCCTGGTCTGGGATAACAGAGGCAGGAGTGAGGAGGACTGCARGGGTCTCTGGGATGAAGGTTCAATCTCCCATGGGACACAGGGGGGTCCCACCCTGCCCTCCACCACCCACGGGGCCGAGCAGCTTTGTGCTTCTGAGTGCATAGCACAGGCCAGAATCAGCCCGTGACYGCCCTCGAGAGGTTTTGGACACCTCAAAGCCTATCCATGGATAGAATGGATAGAATCCTGTTAATTTAGCCAACATTCTCGTTAATTACGGTGCTTGTCAAAACGCTTATAAGCTACACGGAGCCCTCGGGGTAAGACCTCACCCTGCCGCAACATTTCCCGAGTCTTCGTCTTCGGCAGCTCGATGAACATACTCCCGAAGCAAACCATGGCCTTCTCTGGAGAAGAAGGAGGGGAGGGGAGGGAAGGGGCTCTCAGCGGAGCCGCTCCCCAACCACGAGGTTACAGCGGGGGCAGCCAGCCCGGCCTCACCGTCGGGCTCCAGGTCCTTATGCAGCGCTCGCAGGGCCTCACGGTTCCGGTTGCGCTTCACGTCCAGGTCCACGATCTGCAAAGGGAGCGAGAGGCAGGAGCGGCCGGGGCTCGGGGCTACCGGCGGCGCCACAGGGAGGGGCGGGGGAGCCCCGCCGGGGCCGGGTCGTACCTGCTGCCGTGCCGCCAGCACGTCCTCGGCCAGCTCCTCCACCTCGGCCAGGTAGCGCAGCACGAAGGCCGGGTCCCGAGCCATGGCGGGGCCTGCACCGGGGCCAGCACCGGCCTYGCACCGGCTCCGGTCCGGGTCCGCCGCTTTGTGCTCCGGGCCGCAGCCGCAGCCGCGCAGGCGGGTTCCGCGGCGGGAGCGGCCGGGGGCAGCGCGCCCTCTCGCGGCCGCCGCCGGGAGCGCTCCCCGGTCTCGGGTCCCGGGTCGCCGTGGCCCCGGTGCGGGGCGGAGCGGCGGGGACCGAGCGGGGCTGCGARTACGCGCGGCCGGGATCGCGGGAGAGGCCGTGAGTGGCCGTGGACTGCAAGGGAGACGCCCGTTCGCCCGGCAGCAGGGTTGGATCTTGTCCACAGTGTGCACTGGCGATCCCGGGACTGGCTCCGGGGTGGCCCCRTCCCCGCGGGGTGACCGCATCACCGCCCAGCAAAAGAATGGAGCGTTCAGTGTGGCCATGTGGCGCTGAGCCCCAGAGTGGGGTCCTGGCCCCGCAGCCGGCCCCCAACCCACCCCACTCCCCACAGCCCCAGGGACGGGGGCTGAGAGCCTCTGCCTCTCCTGGTCCCCTTGTGCGTGAATTATTTATGACTTGTCACAGCCCGTCCCCTCGCCCCCAGCACCACCGTCTGTCTCCTGCTCCTCGCTGCTTCCCAGCACGGTACCGCTGTTGGCAGCTGGGCCCTTGGAGCATCAGGTGGCCCCTCTGTCCTCTTTTCGTCCCAGAACGCAATAAAGGGCACTCAAAGCGTGGGGCGATGAGCTCAGGTTTCCTTTCGTGCAGCTGGTGGCTCATCWGTAGCTCAGCGTCCAGGACCTGCCATCTCCAGGGACTGGGGCCGGTTATGGTCCTGGCAGCTTGACTCACCCTCAGCCAGCCCCTGTGCCCCCAATCTGTGTCAGGCAGGGACTGGTCCCGGGAATGCTCTGGCAGGGCACCACATCCATCTGCTGCCCTGAGCAACCCTGCCTGCAGGAAGGGAAATATATTGCCTCAAAAAGGCTTTTATCCCCTTTTTTCCRCCCCACCCATCTGTGAGAAAGAGGAGCTGGAAAGATGGGGTCTGGGAGATGCAGGGAGACCTGGCACTGATGGTGAGGACTGGCAGATCCTCACCATGTGCATTCTGCAGTGGGAAATGGGCCCCAGGAGCCCACCCAGGGCTGGTGGGTTACAGGGGACACAGGTTTTCATGTCCCATGTCCCTGCTCTGGACAGAGCCCTGAAACAGCATCTTAGGTTTCCAAATGCAACCCTGTCCCCAGCTTGCCATATCTGCCACCCTGGCTGTGCCACYCAGCTGCAGCTTCCCTGGTGATGGTGGAGGGACCTCTGGTCMRTCTCAGATCAGTGCTGTGATGGGASGGAGCTCCAGTGACCTGCCTGAAGCAGCAAACAGGGGCCAGGGGAGAGGAGAAGCCCCAGCACTTGGAGGCTCTGGTACGAGCCCTTCGTAGGACCCATTTGACAAGGAGCTCCCCAAAGGTGACCCCAGTGCTGCAGCTCCTCTGGACTGCTGGAGATGGGGACCACAGGGGACAGGGATGGAGGGAGYGAAGCAGTGGCTGGCTGGTGGTCACCATGCTTCTGTGGATGAATAATCCCTTAAGGGAGATTACCCAGATCGGAAGATTACTGGCCCTAATCCCATAAGGTCATTTGTTTCAGTTAACTGAGATCTCTGTCTGCGGCAGCAGTGCAGTGGCTTCAGGGGAACAGTGGGATTGAGTGCTGRAGCACACATGGGCACTCCAGGCTGGGAATGATCCGCACTCGGGTTAGATTCCTTCCTGACATCAACCAGAAAATGTACTGCGTTCGGGGCTGGATGCCAATGCTGGAAAATGCTCATTTGTCAGTGGGAGCAGCTGGCTGAAGATCTGAAAAAATGGGAAGGAGGGAGGGTTTTCAGCGTCTGGGGAAGAGGAATAGGGATGGGATGGGATGGGATGGGATGGGGATGGGGATGGAGATGGGAACAGTGATGAGAATGGGATGGGAATGGGCATGGGAACAGGGATGTGAGCAGGCTGACTGTGTCGTGGCAGCAGTGTAAGGAAATAATGACTTTGGGGTTGCCAATAACAGTGCAATGAAGGCAGGGTTTTGCCAGGAATGTTGGGCTGCATGGAAGGGCGGGGCCCAGCTAAGCATGGGRGAAGCTGCATCTGAGGGATTGCAAAGCCATGGGCATCTGGAAAACATTCCCAGGGCAGTGAGAAGTGGCTGGCGCTGCACTCTGCGGCCTCTCCCCAGCCAAATTCTGAGCCAGCCACAAATCATCGTGGGTTTCTCCTCCTGGAGCCAGCGCCACGGGCAGACATTCTGCTTGGAAGCTGGACTCAGACTGGAACCAGAGGTCCATTTGGACCAGTTCCCCTGGGAACTGGGCAGTCAGAGGGAGYGGCCACCTGCCCGCTGCTGGGAGCTGCTTTGCTTTGCTGTGTGTTTTGTGGGAAGAGCAGGTTTGGTTTCATCATGTTCCTTTTTTCTTCCTTGCAGCCCTTTTCTGTATGCAGCCAGAAACCCTCCCTGCCTGCTGGCAGCTGCACAGGAAGCTTCGGGGATGTTTATAAGGTTTTTTTCTCTCTTCTCCTTTCATGTGGCTGCTGGGGCCTGTTGTTAAGATAAATCAGACTTCAAACCACGGTCTCCATGTTTTCAGGCTGTGGATCTTTAACTGCTGTTTCAGAGGGGGTGTTTCAGGGTCAGGGGAGAAAGGTGGGTCCGTGTTTCCCTGATTTCCAAGTGCCCTCTCCCTGGCACTGTGCCCACCATGATGACAACGTAGTCTCTGCTCCATCACCCAGCCAAGACAAAGAGTCTCCAGGGACCAAGCCCAAAGAGGTCTGGGGTGTCAGGTGTTGATAGGGGTTCTGGACACTGGACCCCATCCTTGGAAAGGATCCTGCCCTGCCTGGCTGTTGATGAAAGGCTCTTTTCTTTAGGCTTTGGGATGCTGGGAGCATCCCCTCCCCCAAGCAGGCGTTTGTGGAGGGGATCTGTCAGGAGCATCTCAAGGTGAGGTGTTTCATTATCAATGCTAATACATGCAGCACGGGGAGAGCCTCGCAGAGGGCCCCGCCACTCCCTTGTGCTGAGTAACATCTTCACCCCCTAGACTGTGTCCCAGGAATCCAGGCTCACCCCACCCCGGGTTTGTGCTGGTCCCTCTTGCTGCCCTGCAAGGCAGAATTTGGAAGTTGGCCAGGATCAAACACGTTACCCCTCTCTGTGTGCCACGGTGTGCTGGGCACGGGCAAGGCTCGGGCCAGGATTCTCAGCAGGCAGATTCACTGGGCTGAGCCTTGGGGGCTGAACCGCAGAGCCAGAGCCCGGCCCCGTGGGCTGGGGGTTGGAGCTGCCTTCAGGAGGCAGCTGCCTGCATGCAGTCACTGTCCCTGGAGACCCACCACAAAGGAGAGAAAACCCTTTCCTTTGCAGCCCTTTTTTCMTCCCAGCAGTGCCGGGGATGCCGGCACAGCGCTGCTCCTCGTGTTGAGCACATGTCCCGGGAGTACAGCCCCTCGCTGTGCCAGACACATTGTGTCCCAGCTCCCACAGGCAGCGAGCGGAGAAGAGGTGGTGCGGCAGAGCCGAGGAGCAGGGCGGCTTCAGGGCTCCTGTGCACCCAAACCCCAGCAGCCTGGGTCCACCTGGACCTTGGTACTTCACTTCCAGGGATGTCCCCAAGGCTGGGGAATAACGTGTGTAACTCTTCCCTGAGTTTCATTTCAGGAACGGCAAACGCCTGCTACCAAACCCCATTTTTGGTCTTTTTAAAAAGGATACACCTTTTTTTGAGCAAACTGGTCTAGTGGAAGATGTCCCTATCCATGGCAAGGGGTTGGCACAAACTGGTCTTTAAGGCGACTTCTAACCCAAATCATTCTGTGATGATTCCATGAGTCTCCCTCCAAAGCAGGGCTCAGCCGGTCCCTGCTGGAACCCTCCCTGGCTGCGTCGGGCAGGATTCTGGTGTTCTGTGGTCCTGTCTCAGCCCTGGCGGAGAAGAGGCACCCACACCTCCACTCACACGAACCTCAGGGGGCTCACACTGCCCTGACCCAGCCCAGGGCTGGACCCACGGRCAGGGTATTGCCTGGGCTGAGCCTCGGGGCTGAGGGGACGCGGTGTCGCTTCCCGGGAAGCTCCGGTCCTCGGTGGGCTGGGGAGTGGCGGTCGGACAGCGCGGACAACGTGGTTCTGCCGGGACCGGGGTGGGGTGCAGGGTGGTCCGCACCGGTACCGTGCGGTGCTCGGCCGGTCCGGGCGGTCCTTGCCGGCGGGGACCCGGGGGGCGGGGGCCGGTCGGGGGAGGGGCCGGTTGCCCTTCCCAGCGCGGGGCGGTGCCCAGCGGCACCGAGCGCTCCTCCGGGACCCCGCGGCGCCGGCGGGGGGGGCGGCTGCCCCTTCCGGCGGGGGAGCGGCGGGACCCGCCGGGGGCTCCCGGCGCCGGCCGGGGGGCAGCCGGTGTCGGCGGGCGCGGGGCGAGGCCGGCGGGGGCGGGCGCTGCCGGGGCGGGCTCCATCCCTCCGGAAGTCTCTCCCGCTCCCTCCTTTCTCCTCCTTTCCCCCGACAACATGGCCGCGAAGTCGGACGGCGGCGGCGGCGGCCCGGCCGTGCTGCTGGAGAGCCCCGAGGGCGGCGGCGGGCGGCGGGAGGCGGGCGCGGAGCCCCCGGCGCGGCGGTACCGCCTGCGGGACGGGTGTTGGGTGTTCTGCGCGCTCCTCGTCTGCTTCGCGGACGGTGCCTCGGACCTGTGGCTGGCGGCCCATTACTACGTGCGGGGGCAGCGGTGGTGGTTCGGGCTGACGCTGCTGTTCGTGCTGCTGCCCTCGCTCGTGGTGCAGATGCTCAGCCTCAGGTGGTTCGTCTACGACTTCGCCGCCAGCACCAAGGACAGCGGCGGCGGCACCAAGGACAGCGGCCCCCGCGGCTGCTGCCGCCTCTGCGTCTGGCTGCTGCAGGGCCTGATCCACCTGCTGCAGCTGGGGCAGGTCTGGAGGTACGGGGGTACCTGGGGCGTGGGGGTGCCTGGGGGGGTGGGGGGACCGGG